ATGGTCCCCACAGCCCTCTGCCCAGCAATTCAGTCCCTCAGGGAGTTTGGATGTGTCTGTGGAGCTTCCATGACCTTTCCTTGTACAAATTGTGCTGGTTTCTCCAGTATTGTGTACTGTCTCACCCTTCACCAAAGATACCACTTATCTATTGCCTTTTCAGTATTTCCCCCACACCCCTCCCATTCCTCATAACCAACAAAGATTGTTACTTTTTGTGTGTAAACTTTTTCATGAGTTTTTATAATAGAGGTCTCATGCAATGTTTGTCCTTTTGTGATTGACTTATTTCACTCAGCATAATGTCCTCCAGTTTCATCCATGTTATGAGATGCTTCAGAGATACATCATTGTTCTTTATCGTTGCATAATACTTCATCGTGTGTATGTACCATAGTTTCTTTATCCATTCGTCTGCTGATGGGCATCTAGGTTGTTTCCATCTTTTTGCTATTGTGAACAATGCTGCCATGAACATGGGTGTGCATATGTCTATTCGAGTGACGGCTCTTATTTCTCTAGGATAAATTCCTAGGAGTGGGATTGTTGGATCATATGGTATTTCTATTTCTAGCTTTCTAAGGAAGCACCATGTCATTTTCCAAAATGCCACTGCCATTTCTTGCTGTGATCACCGAGGAGCTTCCTAAAGGATCTGTGTCCAGCCTGGCTCCTCCCTGTGAACACTGTGCACAGCTTCTCTGCTTTCACTGGATAAGGCCCAGATTAGCAGTAGAGGCTCTTCCTGAGTGGTCCCCGCTGCCTCTGCAGCCTCGTTCTCTCTCCTCTGGCATCCTCGCTCCCGCCTCACACAACAGGAGCCTTTCACAAATGAGCCCTTCAGTCTGGAGCACTCTACTCGCCGCGACTTCCTACCCCCATCCTCTGCTTCACCAAATCCTCAGAGAGGCCTATTCAACTGAAAAGTAGCGGGGAGGAGTGTCTCGAGCTGGCACCAGATGTTGGCTAAGGGCTGCCCACGGCCCACTCTGCTGGTGCTGGCCCTGTGGAGTGGGGAAGAGGAGCTCATCCCCAGAGCCCAAGATAGAGGGACTGGGCCTTGCTCCTGCCCTGGTGTATGCCCAAGCAGTGGTCGTCTTGCTCAACTGCTTTCTTGGCTGATAAGCTAACCCTGCAGGAGGTAAGACTGCTCATTTTGGGGGATGTATCCATGAACACCTGTCAGACGATCACAAGCTGCCAGGGGGAAAACTGCTGGGTGGAGGTTGTGCTAATGTGAACTAGATTTTCCATTTCAAGAATTGGCCAGGTCCACTTTTCCCAGGCTGGTGCCAAGTCCTGCTTCTCAGACCTCAAGGAATCCCTGGCAGCAGCCCTTTGGCTTTCAGGAGCGAATATTCTGAAACGTCCTGGTTTCCTGGTGCCCAGTGACCAAAAATTAAAGAGGCTAGAAGACTCAGACAAAATAGTGGGGCCTCTTTTGCAGTAGTGAGGCATTCATTCATTCATTCAACATCTTGTCCATTACCTTGGGTGCCCAGAAGATGGGTTTGGCAGGAAGACTAGACACAGTAGAAGGGCTATTTGGTGGTTTTAAGCAGATAGTGGCTCCATGTTTACTCTCTGTCTTAGTCATCTAGTGCTGCTATAACAGAAATACCACAAGTGGATGGCTTTAACAAAGAGAAATTTATTCTCTGACAGTCTGGTAGGCGAGAAGTTCAAATTCAGGGTGCCAGCTCCAGGGGAAGGCTTTCTGTCTCGGTCTGCTCTGGAGGAAGGTCCTTGTCAGCTATCTTCCCCTGGTCTAGTAGCTTCTCAGCACAGGAACTTCGGGTCCAAAGGACACACTCTGCTTCCAACATTGCTTTCTTGGTGGTATGCGATCCCCATGTCTCTCTGCTCCCTTCTCTCTCTTTTATCTCAAAAGAGATTGACTTAAGACACAACCTAATCTTGTAGATTGAGTCCTGCCTCATTAACATAACTGCCACTAATCCCACCTCATTGACATCATAGAGGTAGTATTTACAACAAGTAGGAAAGTCACATCAGATGACAAAATAGTGGACAATCAAACAATACTGGATATCATGACCTAGCCAAGTTGACACATATTTTAGGGGGACACAATTCAATCCAGAACTCTCCCTCTTCCATATCCTACCCTTCAGCTGTCCCTCCCCCCACAATCTCTAGTGTCCACCCTCCAGTTCCTGGCAAAGAACAGTACACAGAAACCAAAACCCCATCGGCCTTGGGGCAGACATCTTAAGTGCACCCACCAGTGCTATTAAAGGGCTCTAGGTGGTACTAATCTTCATTGTAGGCAGCCTCTTCTCTATTCTTTCCCAGTAAGAATTTTTATTACATCTCTGTATGAATGAATTTGTTACTCACATACACAAGTATGCAACAGTCCATTCTTGGTCCTCATCTTGATGACTTAATGGTGTTTAACACAGTTGATCAACTCTGACATTGCATATTTTTTCTCTTGGCTTCTAGAATGTCACACTTCTGGTTTTCTTTCTACCTCAGTAGCCACTCCTTAGTTTCCTCTGCTGGCCCTCCTTCTCTTCCTGGTCTCTGGTTCAATCCCCAGACCACTTCTTTAAACTATGTACTCACTCCATAGGTGATCTCATCCTGTCCCATAGTTTTAAGTAAATTTCTCAAGCCCCAACCTCTTCCTTAAACTCCAAATTTATATAACCACTTGAGTATGCATTAGTTATCCATTGCTGTATAACATATTATCCCAAAACTTAGTATCTTAAAACAACATTCTTTCACACATTTTCTGAGGGTCAGGGATCTGGGAGTGTCTTAGTTGGGCAATTCTGGTTCACGGTCCCTCATGAGGCTGCAGTCATCTGAAGGCTGGGGAGGGTCCACTTCCAAGCTTGTTTATGTGGCTGTTGGCAGAAACCCTCACTCCTCACCATGGGGGCCTTTCCTAGGGTTGCTCATGACAGGGCTATGGCTTCCCCTAGTGAGTGACCCAAAAGAGAGAGGAGGAGAAAGAGACCAAAACAGAGGCTGCAAAGTTTTTTATAACCTAATCTTAGAAGAGACATGCCAGCACTTCTGCCATATTCTGTTGATCACAAAGACCAACCCTGGTATAATGTGGAGGGAACTAAACAAGGGTGTGAATACCAGGAGGCAGGGATCAACAGAGGCTGGTGCTGAGGACTGCTGACAAAGGCTTCTGTGTGGTAGGTAGCAAGCATACTGAGTGGAGCAACAGGGCAGACCTTTGTGGAAATCTGACCAGAGCGTGACACCCCCAACCTGGCAACTGTTGATTATCAGGCTATTGCAAAGTGCTACAGAAGGGGCCTGCACACTCTACCTGTCTCTCTGTGCACCCATAGCTCAGGCCTCTGAAACCAACAGGACAGACCTCCCTGGGTAACACTTTGAGTCTGTCTGCTTCCCCTTCTGCTTGGTGCTGAAGACTGCTAAGGCTAGTGTGTGCTAGGAAGCAGGAATCTTGAGTGGAGGCTACATCCTCAGCAAACATATTATGAGGAATGCTCTGAAAGCAACAAGACAGACCTCCCTGGGGGTCTGTTCAGACCATGACAACCCCTCCCCCCCACCTGGTAACTGCCAGATGCTGGGCTGATATGAATTCCTACAGAAGGTTCCCTACAGTGGAGCCAGGAGGAGGGTCACCTAAGTGGAGACTGCTCCCCTACCCACCACCACCACAAGGCCACTGGGGCTCTAAAACCAACAAGACAGATATTTCAGAGGTCCTTCTGGGAAGTCCCAGTCCTTCCTTCTGCTGATACAGAGGAAATTCTGCCTGTGCTTCCCCTGAATGCCAGCTCAGATATAAGCAGCCCAATGGAGGGAAGCCTTGGGCAAAACGTAAGCCCCCAGAAAACATGGGTACAGAAACAGAGAAGGGAAGGGAGTAATAACCAGAGAGGGAACACTGCCCCCTTGGTGGAAAGATGGATTAGTGCATAACATCTTGCCTGAGTGGAGGTGCCCGCTGGTGGACAGACTGACCACAGCATGTTCTCTGGTGTGTTTGGGAGACAATGAAAGTTGAAAACCAAGATCTGGAACTTTCTAATCCTACTTAAACTGAGGAGGAGAAGGAGCTATCACAGAGAGAGAAGAAATGGTAAGCAAAGGTCAAAGGCTCTCCCTGTCTATGAGTTTTTTGCCAAAAGTAATGCAGGCAAAAACACCAAATACTGGGGAGAACTGAGAAAGTTAACACCCATGAAAATTCCAATGATCCAACAAAAAAAACTCATAAGACACATGAAGAACAGAGAAATGATACCCCATTCAAATAAACATGACAAAGGGAGTGAAAGCATCTAGGGATGACCAAATAATGAAAAAAAATGGAATAATGTAATATAACAACATTAAACATAATTAAAGTGTTAAGGGAAAACATAGAGATTACAAAGAAATAAGGAAAATAATGCTAGAACAAAATGAGGATCTAAAAAAAGAGATATTGCAACTGAAAGGGAGAATATATATAATGAGAAACACAACAGAAAGACCAACAGATTTAATCAGGCAGAAAAGAATCAGTGAATTAGAAGATAAGACAGTTAAAATTACTGAGGCTGACAGCAACAAGAATGGAGGGAGGCTCAAGAAGGCTGAGCACATTTTAATGAAATTATGGGACAAGAGACCTAATATATGCATCATGGGAATTCCAGAAGGAGATGAGAGATAGAAAGGGACAGAAAAAATATTTGAAGAAACAATGAGAGAAAATTTCCCCAATCTAATGAAGGACATGAATCTACAAATCCAAGAAACACAAAGAACCCCATGTAGGATAAACCCAAATAGATCTACACCAATACACATCATAGTTAGGCTATCAAAAAGTAAAGATAAAGACAGAATCCTTAAAGCAGTGAGAGAGAAGCAAACAGTCACATACAAGGATCTCCAATAAGATTAAGTGCCTGTTTCTTCTCAGAAACATTGGAGGCCAGAAGGCAATGGAATGAAATATTTAATGTGCTGGAAAAAAAAAAAAAAAAAACCTGTCAACCAAGAATACTGTACCCAAGAATGGTACACTGTCCTTCAAGAATGAGGGTGACCCAAGAGACAAAACGGCCATATAAAACAAAGACTCCATTAGCCTGAGACCAGAAGAACTAGATGGTGTCCAGCTACCACCAATGACTGCCCTGACAGAGAACACAACAGGGAGTCCCTGATGGTGCAGGAAAAAAGTGGGGTGCAGAAATCAAATTCTAGTAAAAAGACCAGTCTTAATGGTCAGATTAAGAATGGAGGAACCCCAGAAGACATGGCCCCTGGACTTTCTGTTAACCCAGAACTAAAACTATTCCTGAAGCCAACTCTTTAGACAAAGAATAGACTGGACTATAAGACATAAAATGATACTCGTGAACAGTGTGCTTTTTAGTTCAAGTAGATACATGAGATTAAATGGCAGCTTCTGTCTGGAGGCAAGATGAAAAGGCAGAAAGGGATAGGAGCTGGTTGCATGGACACGGGAAATCTGAGGTGGAAAGGAGGAGTGTGCTGTCACATTGTAAGGACAGCAACTACGGTCATATAACAGTGTGTGTATAAATGTATGAGAAACTAACTTGAGCTGTAAGCTTTCACCTAAAGCACAATAATATAAAAAAATAATACACACACACACAAGGTTTAGAATGTTTCAAATGGTAAAAGAAGCCAATTACATATACTTCTTGATGTGTGGATTTTTTTTCCTCATCTTAAAAAAAAGAAAAAAGACTGAGGGTGAAGTGTCCCGGACAGAGCGGGGAAAAAATATAGAACAAAATTCAAACTCACAAAAAAAGACCAGACTTACTGGTTTGACAGAGACTGGAGAAACCCCAAGAATATGGCCCCTGGGCACTCTTTTAATTCAGTACTGAAGTCACTTCTGAAGTTCACCCTTCAGCAAAAGATTAGACAGGCCTATAAAACAAACAATAACACACATAGTTCAACCATGTGTATGAGGCTGAATGGGCATACTAACCCAAAAGCAAAGATGAGAAAGCAGGAAGGGACACAAAAACTGGATGAACGGAAATGGGGGAACCTGAGGTTGAGAAGAGGAGAGTGTTGACGTATTGCGTGGTTGGCAACGAATGTCACAAAACAATTTGTGTACTGTTTACTGAGAAACTA